ACATGTAACGGCTCTGGTGTTCCAAGTATTTATGGGCGCGGATTGCTTACCATCAGGTGATCCGTCTGCTCGTTTACCGACTTATCCCATAACAAAAAACTTGTTTTAACAAAAGAAAGCAAGTTGACTGTCAATAAATACGCACTTAACATTTTTCTAAATTAACTTCTTCCGATATAAGACAGACCTACATTCATAGAGTAATGAAATGCCCTAAAATATTTTACATGAACCAATATAATTTTATTACCAGTAATTGTCCATCAAAAGAAAGATACTTTAATAGTAAGTCGAAAATAATTGAACAGTTCCGCATTCTCTTGACCTTGTACTTACATAATTGAGATGAAGAGCAAGCATGCGCCTGCGCAAGTAAGATGGCATACTTAGTTAATGCATAACTTTGTAACTGATAGAACTGGGGCATGGTGTATAAAATAATTTGTTGGCGGTTATAAATTAGAGATTAGTTGCTTAGTTAATGGGTAAATTATAATATGACGCCCTTTATGAATATATATCTACAATCGCTTGTTAAAACTTGTTGGTTTCTTTATGGTGTAGGGCGGCAAACGAGCAGGTGCTTACTCTTGAAACCAATCTCAATGTCAATGCAATTTCAATACAATAAAATCTCAATAATTATTCAATCTCAAAACTATACAACCCCTATCGTAGCTGTTATAATAGCATTCAGAGTACGGAATATAAATCTAAACTCAATACTGTTTAGTTCATTCAATATCCACGCAATACGGATGCAATGGGCGCTAGAGCTGCAACTCGAGAGTACGAAATTTCACAATACCAATGTCGATCGATCGGAATTGGATTCAAGAGTAAGCCACCAGACGGGTCCCCTGATGTTATGCGTTAAGAGTTGCCAATGGACGCCTGCAACACCAGAGGAAGTGTGGGAGAGCCATACTTCACATGGCTTTGCGAGTGATACCACGGCCTCACAGAAAACCAAACCGACGTGAAGCAACGCTTGCGTTGTGTTTCGTTGTGTGAGTGAGGTTACCGGAGGCCCAATTACCCTCCCCTTCCCCAATCTCCCCAATCCCAGACGATCCTCAAACTCCTAATCCCCAAAAGGCCGGTAGCGCACTTGTAACGCGTCTGGTGTTCCAGGTGTCCATGGGTGACGCCGATTGCTCGATTGCTTACCGTCAGGTGATCCGTCCGCTCGTTTACCGGCAAGCCATAAAAAAGATGAATACAATTGCGGCATTTTTTCTGGGTTAGGGATTTGAAGTTTGTGGATCCAAATACGCACTTAGCTTGTATCCGTGTTTATAATCAAGATGATAGATTTAATGTTTAAAGTATTTTAAACCCTCTTATATCATCGCTCGTTAAGTTTCGTATAGTGTAGGTCGACACTTGCACTCTACAACAAGACAGTTTCATAATGGCTTTGACACAAAAGATGATATTCTTTTACGTATTTGACATGGAGTCACGAAAGGCTTAAAGGGTTGCCGGGGCTCCGGCTCGAAGAGCAGAAATAGGAACAGGATGCTATTTAGTTAGTAAGAGTCTGACACTCCGTATCGCTTAACCCAAGGCGGGAGAAGTCATTGGATGATTTTTCTTTCCCTTATAAAAAAGGTATTTGACATTTGACAATGAATAAAATGTCAAAGCCATTTGTCTTACGACAGACATTTAATGGGAATAGGCACTACGGTGACATCGATAATCGATCACGTAATACATTTTGGAAATACGGAAGAAACTCATTATTTCATTTCTCCTGGCCTTTTCCCAACCAGGTTAGAGTTGGCAATGCATTACTTAACCCAAAACATAACATCACACCTTTTACCCCGAAGGGGTAGGCAGAGGTGCACATTACGACACTTAATGCCACTGTACAATGTAATACCCACTTTTCACTATTTATGTTATTACATGGGACTCAATAGTGAACCTATTGCCAGTATTTTTTTTAAAAACCCAGTAGTACTTTGTCCGACCCGGGAATCGAACATGAGACCCCTTGCCTTACAGCTGCACTTGCGATTAAGTAATTGAGCCTCCGGTAACCTCACTCACACGACGAAACACAACGCAAGCGTCACGTCGGTTTTCTGTTAGGCCGTGGTATTACTCCGGTCGAGCTGGCCCGTTCGTGCCGAAGCATGGCTCTCCCACACTTCCTATTAAATTTTTCTGTTTATTTGAGGAGCCAGCTATCGTACTGGTTGTATCATTGTGACTATTAATACAATACTTTGTATCATATCCTGTCTACTTTATCAGCCCATTCAACATTATTATTATCATCACACCATTCACATCGCTTAGGTATTTAATCTACTGGTTTAATTTAATTCGAATGCTATAAAAATAAAATTAATTGTCTCATTTGTCGGTCCAAAGTCTACCTCTATAAAAAGGTTTTCTATGTCTTTAGACAAAGTACGCCTTTTGGTGCCTGACAGGCAGGCATAGATGCTCATTGCACATTTCCTATCACATGGAACTCCACATTTTTTATGAGAGAACCATGCTTCGGCATGAATGGGTCGACTCGACTAAAGTGATAGTTTCTCACAAGGGATTTTTATTCATAAAATAGGTGTTAATAATTTGTTTGGAAACCAGAAGGCTTTCTAGGCAACTGCTTCTGCCCAAATTATTGGACTATGATTACTTTAATTTTCCTAAAATTTCTACTAACCTTTGAACGCATGCGTTACGGGGTAAAAAATCGTTTATTTGACTTAAATAAAATAACAATTAGGAAGATTTTATTAATGTTGGCTTACGTGCGTAGGGGGCTCTCGTAGTCTTGGGGCCCCGTATGATTGATACGGCACTAGCTACGCCCCTGGTGGTATCACTCCGATTGAGGCCGTTGGGCCTCATTGCAAATGTCAGAAAAGGCTTGTAACACTTTTGTTACTCCTAAGTTAGTTTGTGCTTACCACCAGGTGATCTGACTGCTAGTTTGCCCTCTACACCAAAAAAAAATACACTTCTTCGTCTTCTTATGACATTCAGCTCCAGATTGACAAAAGTTTTGAATGCCGAACCAAATTGTGAACACAAGCTATTGTGATTTTAAAATAAGTAAGTACAGATAACAACATACGAGGTACATGAACAAATCAGGAAGCCAGCCAGTTGCGGTCGCCGTAAATATAATACGAATATGAAATACGTAATAACTGCGCCATGTTATATCAATTTTAGTATTATAGTGCCCAATAAAGGTGCCTAACCGTACATCTAGATCTTGATATCACTTAGTATCAGTTATGAAGATATCTTAATTACTTTTTAAGTCTGTCTGGTAGATTGCGAAAAATTTCCGCGTGGTATAAAAGGGATGGTGTTAATTATTTTAATAATTAATGTCGATCTTGTGTGGAGATTAATTTAAAACATTAACAACGTACTCTTTCTTATCTTTCTGAATCAAAAACTTTCGAAATTATTATTTCTTGTGACTCACTTCATACTGAGAAGTTGAGAATCGCCACGTGTCGAGGAAATGCTTGCTTTCACCTGGAGAGCCATGCTTCAGACCAAATGGGCCGGCTCGATTGATACCACGGTCACACAAAGAATAGGCGTACCGATTATGTTGTGTTTTGTCGTGTAAGTGAGTCCCAATCAATCCCTCCCCATATCTAAATGCCCATAAGGCCGGTAACGCACTTGTTCCTCGCCCACCACCAACAGCTTGCCATCACGTGATCAGGTGATAACTTTCTATCCCATATGAAACAAAATTAAGGGTTCATTTCTTCAATTCCGAACAAACTTCTGTCAGTATCGGAAAGGAACATATTTTAACCCATTGCATATTGAAGATACATAATTTTTTTTATCCTTTATTCTGCTTTCTGAAACAGGCCTTAGGAATAAGTATGAGTTCTGAGAGCACGGTAGAGCTCCGCTGCGAGGTCAGTAACACCTATGCAAATTCACTTTTAATATTCAACGAAATTTTGGCTTATAACTATAATAATGTTTCTTATGCACATCAAGCTACCCCAAAATCTCTAATTCATTCAAGTCATTTCCAACTTTATTACAAGCCTTTAAAGTTCATAATTCTAAGAGACTGAAGTAGCGTCATTTGTTTCTATTTTCTAATAATGCAGGATGCTCTAAAATGACTGCCTCGTTGGCCGAGTGGTCGCAAGTGCGACTGCCGAGCAAGGGGTCTCGGGTTCGATTCCCGGGTCGGGCAAAGTATTACTGGGTTTTCAAAAAATTCTCAGTAGTAGCACGGAGTCTGGAATTGTGCCCAGTATATGGCAATAGGCTCACCCCCTATTACATGGGACTCATAATATAAATTAGTGAAAAGTGGGTGTTACATTGTACAGTGGCATAATGTGCACCTCTGCCTACCCCTTCGGGATAAAAGGCGTGATGTTATGTATGTATGTATGCTCTAAAATGTAGCAACATTCGATGCAGTCTCGTAGATACGATAGCGACGAATCAGGAAATTGTGCAATACGTTTTCTATTACATTACGTCGTGGCTTCCATGCCGTCCGTCCCGGAAGCCGGTACACTCGACCTCTCGACTTCAATAGCATATTCGTAACTCAAATCCCTCTTAATATCCAGGACATTATTTCTAGAAAATAGTCAAGTAGGAACAGCAAATCTTAGCAATGAGATCTCAAGATAGGCAAACTAGTTAGCCACCCAAAGTGAAACGGGTTAATATCGTAGAATTGAAAATATTAAACAAAACAAAGATGGTAGCGAAAACATGAAATCATCAAACAGTAGGTATACATATCCAAAACGCATTTTGATCAGTAACATCCTGCAATTTAAGAGTTGCAGCGGTCGCTTTGTACTAAAACGGCGTGTCAACACAACACTGTCAATGGCCAATCAGAACCCTTTTGAATGGTTCCAGCCAGACGTTGTTTGTTGCTAATCTTAGACGGGACAAAAAACGGAGTCGGGTTGTGTCCCTTCTTTCACGGTCCCTCGTCGCAGGCGTGCGTCGCCTCTCCGAGTCTCGGCCGCTTCCGAGCCTAACCGCGCGATCAAACAAGTATGGCTAGCCGCCAGCAGTACGCCGCGCGCCGCCACCCGGGTCGCATGTGCTGCGTCGCTAACCGAGCTTTACACAAACTTGCTTCATCGCAAGTTTAGACATTTAAGTGCATAAACCAACTGATATATTTCATGTGTTTTCGGTGTTCATACTAACCGTGTGAGTCGAGTGCTTGCCCTGGCTACGCAAATGCGGGTTTTGTACATTAGTGGGTGGAAAAATAAACAGAACTCTCCGGTAAGTTTATTAATGATTTAAATCATCTTATCTTTTTCTATCTAGTGAAAAAGTGTAGTCTCATGGGAACTGGGATCCTCATTTTACGAGCAACTGTTTCATTAGGATCGAAAACTCCGAATGACCGAAACGAATGTCATAGGTGCCGTTAATATGTTTGTGACATTTTCGAATCTCGTCATCTGTTTAATTATGATCTCAGCGAAAGTGGAAACGTATCTTTTTATCAGTCCCGTCTCTCGATATACATAATATAGTGGTCGTTAAAACGGTAATGATGTGTACACATGCGGACGGTTTGCAGCTTATCGTCACATCATTCACACTTCCTTGCACTGTTTGATATGAATAACGAAATAAATGTCCAAGCTCAGTATCCTCAAAACTTTTTAAATTTGGACATAATCCTCAAAAAGTTTTTATTCTCGTTTAAAAACATATTTAGCCACAACAGGTCTTAGAAGGTCATAAGGCGACAAAAAAGTAACTGCATCAACTGAGATCGCATTCTGATTATGTTTCACAACGATATCTTTGGAGCATCTAAGGCATTTGTAATGAAGATACAATGTTGCACCACTGGTCTTGCGAAAGTGCTTGAAGTGCATGTTTTAGAAAATGAAGTAACATTCACCCCTGCAATTAGACTTTCAGATATAAAATTCGTCAGCTTGCAAAAGTTAACATTTTATTTTGTGCTGTTTGATTTATCTTTCGAATTTTTGAAATTAACCCAAGGGCTACTTTGAGAAGTCATAGAACTTTTGACAGAGTCACAGAAGCTTTGAAAATCTGATCACAATTTCATGTGACATTGAATCAAGGGGCTGGTCAAGTCTATGGCAAAGAAAAGGGTAATTTTATTTACAGTAATCGATACATTTTGTGAGGACCACCGTTGCAGCCTTTACCACTAGAAATGTATTTAAATGTTATTGTTTTACTAAATATCAATATTCCACAATACAAGCAAGGGCGAAGAAATGCAAAAATTGGACGAAAGTATTGATTTCGTGATAGGTCCAAATGGTAACCAAGTTACTGAATGAAAGATTTCAATATAATAGGAAATTATTATTGAGCATGAAATAATCTCTAACCGAGAGCCAAATTGCCCATTATAAATAAAAAGATCATTTTATAGTAACTGAATAAATTGTAGACGAAGTGTGGCGAACAGCAAAAACGGCGTGGAAATATTGCATAATGATTAGTGTCAGTATAATTTAATACATCAATATTAATTGGTTGGGGAGGAGGGCGTACGTGACTGCACTCTTAGCAATGGCATGACTAACAGAACCCTTCGAACTATCCATACATAAAACATGCCCTTGAATATTGCAGTATTCCCTAATGAATACGCTTCAAACCAGGCGTCACGCTTGAATCACGCCCCTCTGTCGTTGGCCGCGGTAAATCAATAGACCGGCACATATGTTCTGCGACAGACCGACATACGCCATGCAGGACACAATGGACCAGACGTACTAGCTCAAAGGTGAATAGCTAAAAGTCGTCCATATAAAGCATCACATGTAGAAAGATATTGTTATTGCAATAGAAACGTTTTTGGGGACACTACTGATAGCCTGGTAACTAGAATTACTTTTAACTCGTCGAGTACCGTCATTATAGACACAATTATAGAACAATAGGTTGCGGTCACCGGTGACCGCTTGGTGTTTGACAGTTTAAACTCATCTGACTAATACAAGACTCATACGTATATACTACTAATACCGCGGTTTTGTTAAATTTGCAGCCTGTATAATAAATCTCTTAATATATCATTTATTTTTTTGAGAAATGTCAGGTACTACCTATATATAGTAGAGCAATTAATAAGTAAAATGATGCAAATAAATCTACCCGAATCTTGAAACTATTAAATTAGAAGTACGATCTTAACGAATGCAAATAATTTTCCTCTCATTAACAATAAGGCTTGGTATTAAGGTTTTGTGGACCAGAAATAAAAGTTTTTACGACATTCGATAATTTTATAATAATTTATTAAACATTTGCAACATAGTGGTTTAGTTTTTATTTAAATAACTTAATCACTTTATAAGCTAAAACTAATTTTAAAAATATACGTTAACTATAAGATAAAGCTTAAATAAAAGAAAACTGAAAATAATTATTTACACAGAGCATCGAAACATTCGTCCGCAAATAATATAATTTTATCAGTTTAATGTTCTCACACATGTTTGAGCAAATAAAATTCTTTTCTTCTTATTCTCAAGATTCATACATTTAGGTACCGACAATATATTTAACGGATTTAAACGCTTACAGCAGTCAAGATCGGTTGCTTCAAATTGCGACTGCAGTGAACTACAGACTCCTACCTACATACACGAACAGCTCGGCTTCGGTGAAATAGCATCTGCGGTCAAGCAGTGGCCAGACATAGTTAGACTGACTACTCGACCTGCCGATCTCGTGCCTTTCCCGGTCCTCTGCCTCCTCAAATTCTATGATACTAATCAAATAACAAAGAAATTGCTATATGCTTGAGCAGTGAGCAATGGCAGCGTCAGGCTGTTGACTCTGTCTGCAAGAGCGGTCCATGTATGTATATCACCGGGTAACTGCTCGAACAGTCGGTGTATCGCAGGCCTTAGTCGATTTTAATCATCATAAACTACCTGCTTAATATTGTGTACCTAACAATATTACGTAGGTAGCCAGTTTTTGCTCGCTTGTCATTTAAAATACGTCCAACTGAGCGGAACAATTCGCACAATTGTCTTAAGGAAGTATTCTGAATAGTCTTTCGTGGACAAAAGAACTCGGTCTATTCATAAGCCTATCCGACTGACAAGACCAGGTAAGCGTGACCTTTCAAATACAGCTAGTTCATATGTTTGAATGAATATGTAATTAGGTCGAAGGATCAATCTTAAACGGTGATACAGCTCTCGTTGTTCCTTTCATCGAACACCACTTAATGACTTTTAGAGACTTGATGAAATTTATATCTTCCATCTTCATCTTTCATCTTTATTATCTATGCCTTCAAGGGAGCAATAAAAATATATTATTATTTATTGATTTCAAATCAGAAAACATGTTTAGGTGTTCTATTGTTAAAGGAAATAGGATTGTAAATCCATAGATGAAGTATTGGTATTGCACGAGACACGTTCGTTAATAGCTCACCATTAGACCCGAACAAGTATTAACTTTTCAAAAGGCTTTTCTGTAATATACATTCCGTCATAACATTTATGTTCCACAATTCATCTTCTTCTATAGGGTAGAGAATAAAAGAGACTCAAGATATGCTCGATCAGAATCAACTGAGCGAAAGAGGATAAAGGTTTAGTATTCAGTATTCAAAGTTCTGAAAATCGAATTAGCGAATATTTAGTGACTACATTTTTGTTAATATTTTAATGTAATGGTGTCGATAGTTTAAGTTATATATGTTTAACAGCAACTTTAACATTAACTCGTCGAGTACCGTCATTATAGACACAATTATAGAACAATAGGTTGCGGTCACCGGTGACCGCTTGGTGTTTGACAGTTTAAAATAGTTTCAAAGATAACGAAGGATCCGTGCGTGCCAGCCAGTGGCAACTAAGGTCCAAGTGTTTAGATAAGTCAGTAGGTACAATACGGCGTGCATTCCTCGCCACCGACCGAAGTTGGGAATTAGCCATAACTTATTTTAGAGCCTTTTGCACCGTCAGCTCAACAACAGGCTTCGTTTCACACACGCGCACTCGACTCGGGACGTTAACGGCTTGTGTTCTATTGTTTTTGCACACGCCAAAGTAATATGCGTCAGCTCAAGCAGACATTTTTGAAGCGAATATCTTTTGAATTTTTCTTGAGATCGTTGCAATTAGAAAAAACGGTGTTTAACTGATAGTGACTTAAAAGTACTTCTTTTATTTTTGAGATCTTTATATTGTGATAATTTTTGCCCAACTTCTCATCTAATCCTTGTAAATATTTCCGTAACAAAATCTTATCTTAACTTAGAAATTCAATGGAATAGACTCATTTTCCTCCAAAATTCTCCACTTAGTGAAATTACCAGGATTAATTAGAGCCTGGGTTTACTTGCACATTATCGACAAACGAGGTTCAATGGTCGGGACGTTAATCAGAATTTATCAGAAGTACTGTTACATTACATTTGTATAACAAAAGCTCGGTTATGACGTTATAAATAAATTCCTAGTTAGCAATAAAAGTCTTGGTATGCGGCATTCACACTATCGGTGATAACAGTCAGCAATTAATATCTTACGTTTCGACCTATGTTATTACTAAATCTTGATTAAAATTAAAAAGTAATTACTGGTTGCGTTCTTATCTATAAAAAGTCACGTTTTTGTATAATGTGGTTGGCAAATACACCTTATTAGGCTAAGGATTCACGGCGCGATCTTCTTCCGCGACCGCCGCGATGGCAGAATGGACGCGGTATTTTCAAAACTCATGAGACCGCAGTTTTCTGCGATCCGGCAGCCGCCGCGGTTGCGATTATCGCCCTCAAACTTGGCGGTTGATCGCAAGACGAGCGGGCGGATACACAAACAGTTGAGTACCTGTAGCCCGATTCACGTAATAAAAACCGTAGCAATATCGTAGCGACTTAATCGTTTAAGAATATAATTTATCGTTTAATATTCTGGCAGAATACATAATTGTTTAACTGGCAATGAAACGTCGATGAATCGTTTAGTTGTCGTTTAGTTTCGAGTCAGTTTAATTGTCGTCCTATCCAACCCCGATTATAGAACACGTGAATACCGATTTCGGATAGGACTTCGATCGAACTATGATCGAGCGACTATAAAACTTCAACTGTTTAATTTTACGTGAATCAGGCTACAGACCGGTCGTCCTATTGTCCTTACCCTCGCTCGCTTCTTAGTAGATATACTAAGAAGCTTTTAATAATAAACACTGGTTCTGACTTCGGACTCTGCTTTCACAAATGTGAGGTACTTTTTATCACTATCATTATCGAA